GAACTCCGGGTCGCGGGAAAGCGGAGTTGGTGTTCCGGTTCCGGAGTTCACTGTATTTTGTCAGATTGGCTGCACCTTAACCACATTGCACTCCAATCCCAACTTGAATGCATGTGTGGGACCCAAACATATCACATCTCTGGCCCACATGACAGTGCAACAAGAGAGAGGACAACAGGTACATTCATTTTCCATTGCATAGCAAGCCCCCACTCATCTTATGTCAGACACATGTGATACAACATTGGACATCAGCAAACAGCCAAGATACCACAAGTGTGGTGCATCAGGTACATTAATGCACTGTGTAGGGAACTGTTTTTCCCTGTGCTTGTAATGGACAAGAAAGAAACTCACATACACATGATGCATGAATATTGAGGATAACTTCTACAGTGCATTTCATTGCAATAACACAATGCAGAAGATGACTTGCTTTTCTATGTGGCAACAACACATCAATGACCCTTACTTATGCCATGTACATATGTAGCTCTGGAGATAACATCCTCTAGCTGGGACCTCTTCATGCATGTCTTATCATGCACATCAAAACTCCTCATGCCAACCCTGTCCTTGTCCTTGATCTCAAAGTTATACACCCACCAGTCACCCCCAATGGTACACCTTCCAAGCACCCCAAAGTGATCTACATCACCCAATGGTTCCTGCAAAACAAGATGCAGTTCCTCCACATTCACACATTGCTTGTGGCCTTCTTTCAATGTCTTGCAACTCAAATTACAGCTTTCTTGCTTGGGGGTAACTCAGCAAGTAACACCTGGGACAAGGTCAGATAGGAAGTGTTGACATATTGGGAACAGAGCAGTAAACACATTGCACCTAGTATTACAGATATTGAATCACAAAACATTGAATCAAATGTTTTGATTATGCATGAAATTTGTCTTAGGTACACTGATCTGGGTAATAATATTCTGAATATGGCTGCCTACCATACGTCAAATCTGCTAGTGCCATCTGATCTTCCCCATGGATTTGACCATATTCCGAGTTTGGTCATAAATATGAATGCAGGAGCATCTGAACAAAATAAACATTAGTAACCCTGTGATGTGATTGGCTGGTCTTGTATTTCAACAAATCTGTTGCTGCCACATTTGGTATAACCCAGGTGCAATCTGTTACCAATATGTCAACCCCTCTAATTTGACTTTGTCTCAGGTGTAATAGGGCATCACAGCAAGATGCATGCCACCTTCGCACAGGGATAAATTGTAGTTGAATCAGCCACAATTATGGGGCTGTAGTGACCTCAGTAAACGAGCTAATTCTAACATCCAAATCTCATATACAACAAAAACTACAGAAACAATGTCTCCCTTTCACCATTATATCGACTTTGAACACAGGGGTTCTTCTCCACCTGCATTACTATCCAGAGGTCTGTTGAACTGTAAGATGCATTCTCAGCATTGTTAATCAACTGCTGAGGTGTAAACAAACTGAAACCACACAAAGATAAATGTTGATCATGTGATCAATATTAACAGGTATGACGAGTATGACGACATTAACTCTAACAAGGTCTTTGCCGTATTGTAAACCTTGGTCTAGAGCCTGCCGAGGTGGATCTGTGGTCCAAATGTATCATCTTCCTCACTCTCGGTGCCTGGTACTCCGACATCATGGATGACCTATCCGAGAGTCATGACCCGTCATTCGAGGATGTTCAAGACAACCCACCTGGCCACTTCCTTCCGTCACAATGTCCTCGAATCCCCAGTCTCTCAATAATTCCTGGTTCGACAAATGGGCGCTAGAGGCCAGTGCCACGGCGTCCCACTGGCGGGCTCCTCCCACACTAACTGCATCATGTCTTCGAGAAAACTGAGAAACCGTGCAGCAGCCGACTCTGAGCGGCAAATTTGGCTGCGAAAGGAGGCCCCTGCATAGCGCAATGATCGGTGCTGCATGTGAGACGAGCAGGACGTTTTTATGGTGATTCATGTCGGACCGTGTTTCGATAAGGTTAATGAAGCATTCAAGGAATCCAACCATACGAGCATGGACTTCTTCAACGCCTTCTCCCTTGCGGGGTGGAAGCCAGACCGAATTCCAAGATGGATCGATTTTGATGGAACGCCAAGATGAACTGATCTTAGGCAACAAGGTTTGGAGATCGACAGCCCCCTTGGGTCGTGGAAACAAGCCGGTTCCAGAAACTACAGGGGAGCACCATTCAGATATTCCTGTACGTATTCTGGTTCGGAAGCTGGACATGTAACCCAGGAAAGTAAACCAACCATGCTCCACGTAGATCGGCAGAGATAAGTGTTCTGCAACAGGTTTAGAAGTTTGAAGGCAACGATCTGCCTAGAGCGTCAATCACTTGGCTAGCATAGGTTGCAACGAGATCACTTACAGTACGGGGAAGAGAATATTGCCGTGGGTCGCTCGTCCTTTGGAAGCGACTCGAAATATTTGGCGAGCTCAATAGCTTGGGTCTGCGTGTGACTTTCTCAACGCGTGAAGAGTGGTTCAGTGGGATGGATAATACCTCTCCATAGGCAGCCAAGGGAGAATCCCTAGGGAGACCCGTCAGGCTCGTCCTGTGCCGCGTCCTTGGGTAAAGCAATAGCTTTGAGAGGGGAACCAGTCCACTGACCAGTTCGAGTTCACCCAGTTAGATCTGAACCCTGTAAAACCCTATCAACCTCACGCAGACCCGAACAGTGAAGGATTTCTCTACCATGTCTGGCGATGTAGATCTTCTCGATCATCAGAGGATCTGTAAAGTGCTACTGAATACGAACAGATGGTTGGACCAAGACCTTGACTTGAGAGAGTTCGCCAAAAGAAAATTCAAAAAATTCGCTGACAGCAGGATTTGAACCTACGCGGGCAATGCCCAAGTGATCATGAGCATTCAAATCACTCGCCTTAACGACTCGGCCATATCAGCTTGATGAGTGCTCATGGCTGGAATGCATCATAACAGCACGCATGACCCAAACAAGTGGAAGGTTTGCTTTCCTTTCGACCCAGGTCAGAGTATTCCTCTCAACACCACTTGAACATTTCCTGGCCGTTCGTTCGTCTTTTTTCTACTTATTGGCTGCCTGGGAGCAGCACGAGACCTTCATGGATTCTCTCATCCCATTTACGACATCGGGATCACTGGTAGATTGCGTGGACAGTACGTCTAGTCAACTGCACACCAGCCAGCGCCCTGAGCCATCCATGATCACTTTGCTCCGTTTATGATATTCCGGCTTAGGAAAGATGCTGGTGGTCCTTAGAGACGGCCGGAAGCTGCATGGTGTATTGCGTTCTTATGATCAATTCGGTGAGTGGGCTTCGGGTTGTGGGCTAGATATCCCAGGCTCTGATCTCCCTAACTGCTTGGCACAGCAAACCTTGTCCTCGAAGATACCGTCGAGCGAATATACCACGGTAATGCATTCGCAGAACACTGGCATGGCCTCTTCCTCATTCGAGGGGAGAACGTAGTGTTGCTAGGCGAAATTGTATGGCTTTCGTTGTGCATGTCCTGGTGTGGTCATTCGTTTACTTCGTCTTGCCAGGACCTTGATCAAGAGGATGATGTGCCACTACGACAAGTCGATTATCAGTTCCTGGATCCATATCATAAAAACGACATTGCTAACAAGAAGGAGCGAGAGGATTTTAAAGCCAAAGTCTTGTATGAGCAAAAAGGGTTTTGTAAAGAGGGTGGGGAGGGCGATGGATATTGATGTGCGATGGTTATTTTGTATTGGTTTACTTCGCATTGCATGTTTATCATAAGATCGTGTGGTCCCAACTAAACAAGGGTTACAAAACGTCGAAAGCGCAGTCATTGCAACAAAGCGAAATGTCTAATGTAAGAAACAAATAGAGATATAATAGTGCATGTGTCACAATCCCTTCTTTTTCACCCTCTCAGAAACACTGCCATGGCGAGGTTGAGAATTGCCAGCACCGTTAAGTTGAACTTTTGGATGTGAAGGCTTGGAGGGGGCTCGTGGGCTGGTATGGGCTTGTGAATACAGTATGTCTTCGATGCCCTTGCGTATCTCGCGTTCGCAAGTAGTGAGTTTGAGAAGAATCCCTTCCTTGGTCTCTTTGTCAAACAAGACCTCTGCGGCGCGAAGCTTCTGCCACCTAGATGTTATTTTGCTGTCAGCAAGAGTGCTGGTGGCTACGTGATGGAAGCCTACCCTGCATGACGCTCGCACTTCTTCTTACCAGTACACCACCACTCACCATGACTGGCAGTTGCGCCGTCGATTTGCATCGCATCATCCCCTGACTGGGTCTTCGCCCGGCCCTCAAAGCTCTCCACGACCTCAGCTCCGAAGTCCGCCCACTCTTCCTCACCGAAACAAAGCCTTTGATCCCAGCCACACTGGTCCACCTTCTCCGCTCGCTCAGAAGCAAGTTCCACCACTTTCTCGCGCCACAACACCATGTCCATCTCACGCTTCATCATCTCGCGCTCCTTGACCACCTGCTCGAGGCGTGCATTCAGACGTGCGATCTCCCGCTCCGATCTACGCTTCCCGGCCGCGTCTGGAGGGTTGTCCTCTTGTTCTGGGGTACTGGAAGTATCGCCGTCAATATCCATTTTGATATGGGAAATTACCCCGTTCGTTTCAGCGCGGACGACGACGCCCTCGCGCTTCTCAGCGTTTTTGACACTGTCCCACAGGAGCTTGCGTGTCCCGCCAGATTTCTCCCATTGTGTAATGCGCGACTGCATGTATTTGATACCGCACTCATCAGAGCAATACTTGGAGAATGCTCCACGTGACGGCTTGTGACACGCACTGGACGATGAAGGGTTCTCGCGCGTCGTTCCGAAGACGCATCGCCGCTTCCACGTCGTCTGCAGATCCGGGAGTTCTGGAATAATGCACGTCAGCCAAAGGAAACTACGGAAAAGTTAGGTGCGCACTGTGAATACACGGGGGACATATAAATTGATCAACGAGGTCGATCTCCGGGTCGGGCATATTGACACACTGAGTATGGTACCACTCGTCACAGCTATAAATTCCTCCTAAATTGTGGCTCCTACGTCAGGTAACGTATCACTCACCGATCACATGCGATCATCATCCTGTCTTCATCATACCGCGTCTTACACACGCAGTAGAGCTTGTCATCTTCCCTGTCACTGTCGTCTGCATCAGCATCCGGAACAGCATCGTCCACACCGCCTGGCATGGCAGACGTAGAGCGTGAACGGGCACTGGCGTTTGGTCCACCTTTTGAGGGGAACCCGCCTTTCGCGGAGAAATCTCTGACAGAGGCATCCGGAACGCCGGGTTTGGCTTTGGTCTTTGCAGCAGGTTTGGCTCTTGATCTGGAAAGCTGCTTAGACTTGGCGGGGAGCTTCTCGAAAAAGAAATAAGTATATGAAGATGGCTCGTGTGTGAATCAGCTGGAAACGTACCTTCGAGGTCCCTTCCTTCTTCTTCTTGCTTCCCGTAGCATCCCCAGCGACCAAAGTACCCTTTTCTTTTTCAACCTTGTCAGCTTTTTTGGTGGGCGGGGCCGGTGGAGGCATAGATGCCCGATCTTTCTCCTGGTCTCCGATGATTGCAGGAACCTTGGGGAGGGGCTGGGAGGGCATTGAAGATGACGAACCATCAGCCAACCCGCTCGATCCCTGATCCCCACCCCCACCCGTACTCCCTCCAACCGCGAACGGTGTCGCCGACTTGGACCTGGCCTGTCCATTCGGTTTCACGGGGAGAACAGCTGCAGGGGAAGGGACATGGTCCTCGACGAGGCTCAGAAGTTCTTCATCGACGTCCATCATTGGTGAGTTTGTGACTGCCTGTTGTTGCTCCGCCGAGCGTTCTGATTTGGGAGGTTGGCGAGGAGACGACTTCGGGTGGTTGATGGGGATCCCATCAGGGAGGGAATTGGGTTCTTCTTTGACGGGCGAGGGCACAGGGAGGGGTAACTGTGGGGGGATCCAGCTTTGACCATGGAAACACTCGAGCTTGGGTTGGACCTCTGGCGTCCCCGAAGGCCATGGTCCCTGCGTTAGCGTGGGTGGTTGAACATGCTCTGGACTTGGCTCTTGGATGGGACCATCAGACATGATGGCATCGTGCATGACCCCGACCTCAGGCACCGGCTTCCCCTTCAGTGTGGGCTCAGACTCGATGGGCTTACACTCGTGCGAGGGTGAACGTGAAATATCCGGGCCACTCCTCACTGTACTGGAACGTCCAGGCTCAGGCTCAGGCTCAGGCTCAGGCTCAGGCCCAAGATGCTCGGATTGAAGGTCCAGAATGGGTGAAGCTGCAGGTACAGGTGCAGGCGGGTCTGGTGGGTGAGGTGAACATTCAGGAGTGGAGAATTTTGGAGGGAGGGCGGATGCCCGTGGCTCTGACTTGATAGGGGAATGTGACTGTACTGGTGACATTGGCTGGGCCTCAGGGTGGAATACAGGTGCAGACGGTGATAGCTCGGACCGAGGCGGGTATGGTTCGAGACGAGTGTGGTGAACGGGAGGCGCAGGCGAGCACGCTATAATTGGCGCCAGTGACGGTGAAATAGAACGCGTAGGAGATAGTGATGGGGGCGAAACACTTTTGTCTGCAACTTCATCCTTCACCTGATATTCTACAACCAGCTGCTCATCATGCCCCCGTTTGGTCTCTCCCAATACTTCCTGCCGGGCACTCCCTTCAGATATATTCTGGCTACTTGCGGCGTAGAGAATGGGTGTTGGTGAGACACGTCGGGGTGCCCTAGGAGCTAAAGCTGTCTCTTCCCAAACACGCATAGGCTGGTGCTTGTGCTCTGAAGGGACCTCGACCTTCTTAACAAGTATCGCCTCGTGGTCCTCACTCTTCCTCTTGTTCGGCCTCTCAGGGTGGACATGTGGTGAAGTCAGCGGTTGCGGGTGGAGAAGTTGCAGCTGCTTTCGAGGAACAACGCGCTCCCAAGACTTATCATCATCCAGAGGTGCCTGCACGTCCATCATACCCATCCCATCGTCTTCATCATCCCATACCGCCCTCGCTAGCCTCGGCACCGGTGCCTGTAAAGGAGCACGGATCGACAGCTCACAGCTCTCCTGACTCATTGACTCATACTTCGGTTGCTCCCTTGACGCCCCGTGTCTCGGCCCCTCATACGTCACAGCTTCTCTAGGCGTCGACTCAGGTCGCAGCACCTCCCTCCGAGGTGGCGAGTCAGGTCGCAACACCCCAGCACCTCCTGCCGTCTTGGAACCGTGTGCATAGCTCGGTGGCATAGACTGTATTGTCGTGGGTAGGAGCGCAGGTAGGAGCGCAGCTGAATGAGGTGATGCAGTTTGGCTCTGGCCCTGGGAATGGTGGAGTTGTGGGTGAAAGTGTTGAGGGGAGTGCTGGTGTGGAGATTGGTTATGAGGAAACGAATAGTGACTTGGAGGGGACACTTGGATGGGGTGATGTACGTATGACGGCGCGCGAGGGGATGCGGGCTGCAGAGGTGCTGGCGTCATGTGTCCTGCAGGGTGTGAAGCTGCATATGAACCGGACAGTGGAGGAGGGAAAGGCGTTGACATAGGCGCAGGACCAACACGATCGTCGATACCAGCCACCAACATGCCAGGCACGGGCGCAATCGGCGCTAACGAACTCGGAGGTTCCACGTGCTGGCATGGTTGGTGTGCGTGCTGGCGCGCCGTCGGGTAATTGTCTGTCACGTTAGCCCGGTTGCGGTGGTGATCTGTGCTTCTGATCTCCGCTGCCCTCCGTACCCTTGGAGACGTAAGTTCACCTCTGCTCGAAACTCGTTTTGCTGCTATCCTTGCACCCGGAGAGCGGGACCGCGAACGAGAGAGCGAAGGGGAGCGGGACTCACGATGACGTTTGTGTGGTCTTGCCTCATCTTCGTAAGACATGGATGGAGATTGATGCAAAGGGCTCATTTGCGAAGGATGGGAGCTTCTAT